GTGGCAGTCAAAACAGTAAACAGCGTCAAGTATTGTCTTTCATCTGAAAAGCTTTTGACAGCACTGTGCAAACAAACATTAGTGTAAAATCAGATGTAAGTGTGGCCTACTGAGATTTCTTTTTTTTTTTTTTTTTTTTTTTTTTCAACCAGTCCACTTTAGGAACAGGGCTTAAATAAGTGTTGAGTGATGGAAAGTACTACCTGTGAGGTTAGGCTAGGAAATGAAGGTTTCGGAGCCAACAAAAGATAAGCTTTTGCAGGAAGGGCAATTACCCAACCTGAAAGGCGATCTTGTTGCTAACAGTAAAACTTTCTGGTCCAGTGAAAGTGATATAGCATGTTGGGCAACACAGGCCTGAAGCTCTTAATGATCTCCATTAACAGATGGACTCCCAGCCTAAGATATTTCCTACACTGATTGCTAAAAGTTGGCATTTTCAGGAGCTCAAAGTGTTTCTGACTGTAGTTATCAGACCTTCAAAAACTAATTCACCTGTGCTTAGGTGTGCAAATCCGTTACTCTCAGGTAGAGAGTTAGAACTATGACCATGTCAAATGCTAAATTGACCTTAGATGGCAAAATATTTCTGTACTCTATCTCCTCTTTCCTCTGCCAGATGTGTTTCTGAGATGTTCGTGCCAGTTGCTGTGTTGCAGTGGGTTGGGTTTGCATGTGTCGGTGTAGTTTGAGATATTTTACAGCCCAGGAGTGGTATAAAGTCAGGGAATATAACAAGAACCAGTTTTTCTTTAGTCCCTTATGAAGTTACAACCTCAAGCAATGCATTTACCCTCCACTCCACTCCACTTAGTATCACAGCTCAACGACTGAGTCTAGTTGCTGTTGAGGGTCTTTGTGTGCAGACACACACTGTTGGGAGGACAGCACCACCACAACTTGTTTCCACCCAACTCAGGTAATTATAAGGCACTGCGTGACGTCCAGCCATGAAACTGGCCATCAAGGGGATTTACAGTAAGAAAGATTGTCTTTTATTCTGAAAAACCCCACAGTATCCTCAATATAGAATCAGTAACTAAATAGTAGCTCCTATTGGAAGAACATGGGAGTGAGCTTTGGCTGACTGGACAGCAGTGATGCCAGTGTGAATGCTGGTGTAGCTGAACACCACGTTTCTGCCTCCAGAAAACTACTGATCCATATTGGGAAATATAAGATGTCTGCAAGTAGGAGAGGCACCTGTGCAAGCAGCCATCTGAAATGAGCATTTGCCTTATGAACAAATTCCTGGACAACTACCCTCCTTCTCCACCCAGCTATACTAAAAAGAAAGGGTGTTTAAATTGCAACCTTCAAGTCTGACCCCACGTCTGCCGTTGGGAAAGTGCAGGGTCAGGCTCTTTACATTTGCTAAGCAGGAAAACAAGGCTGGTTTCCAACAGGATACTGCATTTCTGTGAGATTCATATATCTAAATACAGCACAAGACCTCAGAAACTTTCACCCAAATCTCTTAAAAACACTTCAAAAGTTAACCTGCAGGTTCACAGGACTTTCCATCTTCATGAAGTCTATAGCCAGCGGCACAGGAACATACAACTTTCTGTGGTGGGTCATGCCTGCAAAAGTGTTTGCAGCCTCCATTTTTAATAGCACAAGTGAAGTCTGAAAGAAATCAAAATGAAACTGTGAAAGCTCTTTTGAAATATGAGTGGTCAGAGATTTGTTGTGACTTGGGCCTTTGGACTCGGCCTATAACCCACTCTGGATTATGGAAAATGCATGCTTGTTTGCAAGGAGAGCATCCTTCTTTCAAATCACATCCCTGCTTGTAATGAAGGAGCGCTGGGCACCTCCTTGAGAACGCAGGTTGAAGAATGGCCCTATGAGAGCCCTGGCGCAGCCTCTTGCCTCCAACAGCTGTGTTCTGTCTGAAATTTGGCAGCCTGACTGTAAAGGGCTCCTGCAAATATTTGGTTACGAGCCACGTGATTTCCCCACCGTCATGTTGCTTTTCCCCCACTAATGCTTACGGCAATCCAGCCCTGGTGTGGATGCTAGCGGAGAACACTGTGTGTCAAATGGAAGTAAACTCAAACTCTGAACCTTTGTCCTGGGATTATCGCTGGGCTCTGAATTTAAAACCTCAAGCAAAGCCATATGTTCTTCCTGACATACCAGTAAATCATTGCAGCTTGACATGGAAGACCCATTTCAGAAGGATGTTTGATGAAACAAGTCCCAGCCTGAGGCATGGCAAGATTCCTATGACTTGAGTGTGTCTTCTCCCACCCCACCTCACACTCCTCTGTGGTGGGAACACCATCTCTTGGAGGTGGGAAACCACTAATCCGCAGATGCCCTTTTAATTCTCAGTGAGTTTTCAAATGAATTTGCAGCAGATTAACTCCACTCCTACTTCCTCAAGGACACCTCCCTTCCTGTAGCCATTTTAATGCCATCATTTACTATTTTTACAGAGCTCCTTTTCACGCCTCACTTCTAGCTCTATTTTTGTTCCTGTCTCACTTCCATGAGAAATCTGCAATGAGGCGCTTTAAATTTGGTGCAGCTTTGAAATGCTCTTTTTAACGTACACTCCTCTCTTGCTAGAGCAGAAGCACAACTAGAAAGAGAATCTTTTATTAGTGCAGTGAGTCTAGCATATTATGCGAGTCGCGCAGCTCCTGATTATATTATAAATATAAGAGCTGAATATCCCTCTTGCTGAAATTATCAGCTGTTTGGTTTTCATAAACTCTTCAACCCATCAGGAAAATATTTGCCTTTTGTTTGCCTTCAGAATCAAGGTTGCTGTTGATAATTATAATTATGAATTTAGCAGAGTGTCATTGAGAGAAGGTTGCGATAATCCTGCCCTGCTCAGCACCTGCTGCCCAGCCTGGCATGAGAAATGGAGAGGAGGAGTGAGAGCATGAGGGCCCCATTGGGGTTGGTGGAAAACTGTTGCTTTCAGCAGGTGAGCATGTTGTCCCTGATTGACAAGCAGCCCCGGAAAGGCTTGTGCTGGGGAGATAAAGGAAGGTCTCTCCATCAACATTTGCACTGGCAGCTGCAGCGTGCTGAACAAAAGACCTTGAGCCTGAGTCTCTGTTGAACCCTGAGTAAGAGCAGGCATCTCGGAGCTCAGCAGAGGCAAGGACAGGAGAGGACAGAGACCTCTGCTCCTGTATCCCCAAGCATGTCCCCCTGTAATCCCATTGCCAACAGGCTGAATTTGCACATTCATGCAGTGCCTTACAGCAAGGCAAAATGTGTCCGAAAAAGCCCTCTATTAGGATGATACTCAACGTCCACTTTGATCCTGTAGGATTTCAAGTAGGGCAGAACAACAACAGGGTACGTACCTATCTCACAGTTTCTGCCTTCGTACCCAGCTGGGCACCAGCACACATAGGAACTTACTGCATCCTTGCAAATGGCTCCATTTTTGCATGGATTTGGGTCGCACTGATCCCCATCTTGGAGAGAAGACAGGAGAATTACGAACACAAGTGTCAACCATGGCTGGTGCCAAGCAAGCACTGGAGCCTTGCTCTGTGCAAGCCTCCTCTTAAAGACGAGAAAGAGACTGCACACCTTCCTTCTTGGTAACGGAAAATAAGTCACATTCTGGCATCCAAGTGCACAACAGGCAATGTCAGTGATGGCATAACATCAGCAGCAGTGCTTTACCTAGAGTCCTAATTATGTACCCTGTCCCATGTGGGTACTTCTCATTTCAGCAGAACTCCTCTTCAGTCTCCTTCCTGCATCATCTCAACAGGACTTCCTGTCTTGGCTAAGTTAGACAGACAAAGTTAGATGTTTTCCTTCCTCAAGAGTGGTTAGGATTTCATAATCTGAATAATTTTAACACTACTGTCTGTTCTCTGAAGGTTTGGGCCTGTTTATTGGATCTCTCTGTATTAGGATTGAGAATCTCGGTCATTGCTCTTTCTTTCTAAGTCTTGTACTACTATTAGCTGGTCTAGATTTTTTTGGGGGTTGTATTTTTTACATATCAGGGCTTTTATTTTCACAGTTGCCTACAGCTAAGAAGCTGAGGCTTTAATAAAAATGCCAGTGTTGCAAAATTAGTGATCTTTGGAAGAGTAAGTCAGTGATGTTAAATTACAGGGAAGCGTGCTTTGAAATGGTAATGCAAAGCCAACTAGGAAGGGGAATGTCTTGATGCATTTGTGTCCTGCCAGCAAGCGTGGCTCTTTGTGGTGCTTTCAGGAATGGGCTGGAACACGAAAGGTGGATTGCAAACAGGGACAAAGTGGTTTTGTCTTGTCTAAGGCAGGGTATTGGGTTTTACATGCAAGGCATGAGTTGCGGCTGTTGTTGCCACCTGGTGAGGGCAATTGGGGCTTGGTACCACTTGGGTGCTGTGCAAAGGGTGAGCTCCTGTGGGCTGCACGTGTTGGGAACAGCAGCTTGTAAGCTGAACAGTAAATCAGGCACTTTGGATGACAGGAATATATGGCATTCATTATTTTTGAAGAGCTAATTGGTTACAGTGTCAGGGAAACAAATGCACAGTTGAGTTTCATCAGTTGTTTTTTTCAGAGGACCATCCTACAATGCAAATGTAACTTTTTTATTTTATAGTCTGGAATGAATAATCTGAATTATTTAAGGCTTTTTAGTGAGATGTTCTGGGCGCTTCGCCAATCTACAAAGCAGTTAATTTATTGAAATGTTCTTAAAATTAGTTTCAGATGTTTTAGTGGGCATTGAAATCTTTTTGGTAAGGGATTGAAGAGTCATGGGGTTGGAGGCTGAAAGGGAAAAAAAGGATGGTGGAAAGAAAATGGTTGAGAAGCAAGGGTTTGGGACCACTGGTGTGAATTGCAAACAGCTGTTTGCTATGATCACGTTGAGGAATTCGTGTTGTGTTTGCACAAGGTTGTGCCTTATCTGGGGATCTGTGCTTGAGGACAGAGTATTTGCTGTTTGCTGAAGGGGTGTTAATTACTGTTGTGTGTTTTACTCTACCAGTGCTGAAACTAGAAGCCCAGAGTGTGACCTGGGTTCAATGGATGCAGTGGTCTGTGTGATCTGGTTTTGTTCTGTGAGGTTTTTGAAGTTTGTTCAAAAAAACCTGCTTGAACAAAGAAATATTGTGGGGGATTTTTTTAGCACTTGCAATTTGTATACCAACAGGACAGGCACAGACTGGGTGGCTGCAGGATTTAGGGTGCATAACTCCGACTAGCTCTGTCATAACACAGTTTTGGAATGCTGGAATACATTTGTTTCCATAAACATCTGCTACTTATGCACTGAGAGATTAATATTATGCATTTGAAGATGAAGAAAGCAGCTCTTACCAATGTATGTTTTCCAAAACTCCATCTGCAAAGGAGAGGAAAAAAAAAAAATTCCTTTGATTTCTAATTTCTGGGCCCTACCTGACTGAAGTAGTAAAGGGATGACTCCAAAGCTAAAACAAAAGACTTGCAGGAAGACAACTACCTCTGCAATCCCAATGGTGACCAACGAACCTTTAAAGCAGTTCCTCAGGCCAACTGATGGATCACAATTGAGAATAAAACACAATAGATGCTGCAGTTGGCCCCTGCAGGTTTTTCCCTTGCTGTTTACTCCTTCTTCCCCCTCTGTGCATCCTCACCTGAAAGGCTTGTAAAGGTGTGGACTGGGGGGAACCAGGTGTGGCCGTTTTGCAGCAGCAATACTCACTGTTTTCTCTGTGTTTTCAAACACTTCTCGGGCTTCTTCAAAGCTGCATTTTTCTTCTATGCATTCTCTCTCAAGGTTTCCAGGAATAACCTCTTCCAGTCTGTTTGAATTGGCACGCTTTTGCCTGCTCAGAACCAAGCTTGCCTCTTTGTTCTCGATGAAGACTGCAATTTGAAGAGGAATAGGGGCTAGAGTGGAGCACACGTCATTGTGTGATGCAGCTGGGATGGGTTGTCAGGGCTCTTTCTCAGAGAAAGCAATCCGTTTTCATGTGTTCAACCCCCCCATTGCCCCATGGCCTGGGACATTTCAGGAGTGTTATTATCTACTTGAGGTTTCTTTGGTGTCTAACTTAAGTGCAATGCAGAGGATCAAAACTGGAGAACCAAGAGTCAAAGTAGTTGATAGACAGAAATGACTGATGGTGAGAAGGTGAGTAGAAGTGCTGAAGTTTGATGCTTAAAATACCCTAAAGCAGATGGTGTGAGTATCTCCTATCATAAATACACAGACCAGAATAAGCTATTTAAGAGGGAAAACAATAGGCTTTTTCATGCTGCTGCTTCGTGAGGTCTTGTTTGGACACAGAAATTGTCCTGCTTTAAGTGTCTCTGCCTGTTTTGGCTGTGAAAGGCCATTTGCCTCTGCAAGAAGCTGCGGCCGTTGGAAGCCACAGGCCGTTTATTTCTCTCCCTGCTCCTCACCCTTGCCCATGCACCTGGGTACTGCGGTTTCCTGCCAGCAGGAGAGGTGATATGAGCCCTCCTCATCCTCTGGGCACGGTCACATCAACGAGGTGGTGTGCATCTGCCTTCAACTTGCTGGATGAGCTCCTGGGCAGAAACCACCAGCAGAGAGCTGCTGCTGCTGCAGAGACCCTCAGTCTAGATGGGATGTCTGCAGTGGCCATCAGCCTTCCTATGGTGGCTGCCTGGTGAAGGGTACAAGGACATATCCCATCACGGTGTCACTATGAATGGTCTCCTGGCAGGGCCATGTGTCGCATTGGCAAAGTCAGCAGCAGCAGCCTCCTCCTGGCAGATGTCCGTCAGGGTTTGCTCCTGACCCACTTCTCGGAGATTCCTGCCTCTGCTGAGCACTCCTTCCCCATCCCAGTGCTCTAAAAAAGACGTTATTCAGCCAGAGGAGCTTCCTGCTTTGCCTCCCCAGTCTCTCTTCTCTCTCCACCCTCCCTTAGTGTTAGCTGCCAATGTCCCTTTTTGTCACCAGATGGCATGGTAGAGCAGCTCTTCTTGGAGCTGCTGATGGCCACCCTGGACATAGACCCTTATCTGGGGACTCTGTGCTGGAAAGGGTTCAGGTACTTGTGGGCCTGGCCCCTCTGAGGGTTAAGGAGGGCATGAGCTCAGCCAGGTGGGCAGTGGGGAGAGTGAGGGGCAAGTACCAGCTGCACATTCCTTCTCATGGCTAACCTCCGCTCTCAATCTGGAGCAGATCCCAGCCTCTCTGAACCTGCAGAAGATTGGTTTTGTTGAACTCTCGTGAGCCCCAGGCAGGCTGCTCTGATTTACACCATGCCCCTGACGGTGTAACCAGCCCTTCATCTAAAGATCTCTTTGCAAGAGACTGAACTAATTGTTTTTGCAATGCTTTTAATCATTTTTCAGTAAGCTTGCACCTCTGCCTTCTTCATGCTAGTGTATTTTTGGTTAAAAATGAAAAGGAGTGTATTCAAATCCTGACCTTAATCTATTGTTTGGCAGTAGATACTGATAGGTAAAGCACTTACCTCTGAAGAAGCCAGGCTTGACTCAAACACTGCAGCCCCCATAGGGTGGCCGGTCATCTCCCAGCTGCAGCATTGCTGTTTACGTGTGGGACATGAACATACACCCCCAAGCAAGCTTCTCCTTGCTGGAGAAGACCCGCCGCCTTGTCCCCATGGCATGGGCTACAGCCTCCAGCTTGTCCCCAAGCTGGGCAGAAAAGGGTCAGGTGAGAATTGTGGAGCAGCCTTCCTTGGTTTTGTAACCCTTTTGGGCTCTCCATGTGCTTAGTGCCTGGGGAACCCGATGTGGGCGCAGCCACACACTGCCCTGAGTGAAGTGAGGCAGCTGTGTTAGACCTACTCCTTCATCTCTTCCCGGTGGGATGTGCCAGGCACCTGCCATTAACCCATTTAATGGAGAGAACTCATTTTAATGAATGCAGCTTTCCCTCCCTCAGATCCCTCTAGGCTCTCTTGGTTGCTTACTGATCCCACATGCTGCTTTACAAGTAAAACTTGATTTGAATTGAAGGTTGCAGGCCCCATGGGGTCCCAGGCATGGTAATCACCCTGGCTGGAAACCATCCTCACACCAAGAATGTACTCACACGTGACTTACCAACTTCTGAATCAGTATCTGAGAGAGTGAGATGGGTCTCTGGGCCAAGGGGCTGTAGGGGCAGACCTGCCCTGCCAGCTGAGTACAGTACCTTCTAAGAGGAACACCTAGGTGGGTGGTGGTACCAATATGAAGTTCTGCTTGCTTTTCACTGCTAAGCAAATACTTTGGAAAGAGGCTGGGTTTTTTTAACCTGTTACATGCAATGTTTTAATGCAAGAAGAAAGGCCAGCCTTGCACCAAACAAATACTCGTGCTGGATGTGAATCAGCCTCTGCTGGAACTGTTGCTGCTACAGATAAATCAAGCAACAGCCTGCATTACTATGTGTGATTGCCCACATCCATCAACTACTCTATCTTGTCTACAATTTTGGCTGCATCTTACAGTCTTTGTTAAATTCACGCTGGGTTTGGCTTTAAACAGTTTTTGCATTGGCAAGTCCAATGACTGTTTTACAGATGTGAGTACTTGTTTGTACTCCAGGACAAAGCAGCGGCACACACAGAGGTGTGGATGTTACTCCACCAGTGACACTCTCTCCTCTTTTCCCTTCTCTGTGCGGGTGCGTGCATTCTAAAATGGCTGAATCAAGCTCTGAAAGCTTAAAAGCTGCAAAAATTTAAGAAAAATCCCATTCTTAAAATTAATCCCTGTGACACATTCTGTGTAAAATCAGCATAAAAACTATTATTTCACTCCCAAGGAAAGAACTAGAGCTTTAAAGACAGGAGCTATGAAACGCAGCAATCCCTCTGAGCTCTCGTCTCTTATGAGACTGCACAAGCTGTTTCACTGTCAGGTGACAAACTGTCCCTTCACCTGTGCCAGTAATGCTCTGCACCCAGAAGTGAAGAACTTGTGAAGTCTTAAATGAACCCACCTGTACATTCGGCACCAAGGCAAGCTCCCAGAAGACAAATGGAGAGTATGACGGGGATATTTGCCATCTTCTTCCCGCTGCCCAAACCTCTCACTAAAAAATTGTTCATGTGGTGGAGCTCAGTCAACAGTTCCAAAGTGCAAGTGCTTGTTTATTTACCCTGGGTAACCCTTTAATTTAAGGTCCCCAGATGCGCCATTGCTGAAGCTTGAAATGGCAGCATGGGTGTTAATGGAGGGGACATGTCCACATATAAGAAACCTGCTAGGTAGCTGCAGCCCTTGGGCTCATCTTCTGCCCTGTATGGTATTACTGCCATGTTTGCGAGTTAACCATGGCACAAGAACAAATTAATTCAGCTTCAGTGAACCTCTTTAAAGCACTGGATTTCCCACTCCTATCCAGGTGATGTTGTTGGCCATATAAAAGTCCACAGCAGCATCTTCAAAGGCCTCATTGTGATCCATGTTCCATCCAAAAGAGCCGGCACATTTCCCTTGAAGATGATCCTACAGATGGTGTTTCCTCTCGAGGACCAGGTGCCCTTGGAGCAGAGCGATGTCAGCCAGCATGGTCTCACGTGGATTATCTAATTTAAAAAGTGAGGCTATGGGTCCATTATCTAGATCTGCTGGGGCAAACCCTGGAAACACATGGAGTTTCCTAGGTCCTGTACTTGAGGCCACAGGAAGGAGCCTGCTACTTGGTGGCTTGGACAGTGGGCTGATGTAGGGATATGCTGATAAAATGCCAGCTCTGGAGCAGAGAGTGTGCATGCTTCTGGCTGCAGGGCAGCCGTTGCCCAGGGCAGGTTTGCAGACTGCTCCTGATCCACACTTGCCAAAGAGCAGACTGAAACGGAGGGAACATGGGCGAAATAAAATAGGAAAAAAAGCAGGTTTTCATACAGAAAAGAAAGAGTGGGTTTTCATATGAAACTATTCGTATTTAATGGTGGGTTACTTACAACTTTTAAAACCCATTTCTTCCCTTCTGACTTTCCCTTAGTAGGAAGACCTATTTCAAGGTGAGTAATTGCTTTTGGGAAAATACTGAATATTGTAAAAAAATAAAAATAAAAAATGCTACATTCACTTCTGGAAAGGTCAAAAAATCCACGACACACCCGCACCCTTCCTTGAGGAGTTGTAGGGAAAGTAGGCTGAAATCATTCATCCCACGCTGGGGAGGGCTTGAGGGCTTTCTGCCAATGACCTGTTCCTCAAAACCTGCTTCCCAGTTTCTGCTTCTACCCCCCCGCTCCCCTGTGCACAAGGCAGAACTGAAATCCATTATTGCACCCATGTACATCTGAGGCTTGCGGTGCTCTGCCCGACAACAAAAAGGTCTCGGATAGAGGCATTTTAAAGCAGAATTCCATTTCTGAGTGTGTTGTTTGTGCTATTGCCTTTTGGTATTGGCTTAGCTCCAATACTATGCTTAAGAGCAGCAGCAAGAGGCTAGCAGGCTCCGATGGCTTGTTAAAGCAGAAGAGCTAGAAGAGGGGAGCTGGCAGGTTTCACTAGTTCCCAGCAAAGCAAGATGGATGGATATTCTGCTGTTGTCAATGCAAGGGAGTCCCACAGCATGTTTGGTGGTGCCGTGAGTGCTCACAAACAGCTAATGCCGTCTGGTGAGACACAGAGTACGTACTGTGTTGGATGTGCCTTGAGTCTTGCAGGCAGGAGAGCTACCAGTCGCGTTGAGGCCGTAATAGCCCTTGGGTAGTTGTTACTGTGTTTGCTTGTGCTTATGAACCATAAATTCTGTGCACTCAGTCCAAAAAATTAAAAATGTTCCTTTGTGCAGCAAATGGGAGAGACATTTATGGTTGCATGGGCATTTGAAGTTACTTTTGTATGTAGAAAGGACCAATCGGCTGCAGGTAAACATGAGATGCTGAATGTGAGTTACAGCCTTGTGAGATCCATGTTGCCTAGGTGGAACAAATCCTTTATTTTCCCTTTCTTGAGCAAACAAAAGGTCCTGAAACGTATAATTCATCTTGTTTCTTCTTGCTCCATTTGAAATCATCTTTATTCATCACTGACAGTCGCTTTTGTTATCAAATTTCTGTGGTACATAAATGAGTTAGGATGAGGTAATCTGCTGTTGATGTAAATTGAATGCAAAGTGAAGAAGGTAATGATCATCTCTCATTTTCTGTGCATAAGAAAATGTAAATGTGAGAAAACAAATTGAGCTAAAGTGCTGAAACAATACATCTCCTATCAATAAAGAGGAGTGTAGAGAATGGCCTGCCATAACAAAGGATAATTAGAATCTCATTATTGTAAATATTTTACTTTAGAACATAGGTCAGTCAAATTATTTTTGGTTTATGATGCGTATTTCACTTGTAATAGTGTTTGCAATATTATTGTTAATTAATCTTCACAGAAAATGCCAACATCATTAGAATAAACAAGGCTATTAATACAAGCAATTTCTATTGTTTACTACTATTGCTGTCAACTTCTGGGGCACTAAATCGAAAGCCAAGTGTTTCATTTTATTTATTTTGCAAACTAAATCTCCAGAATTGCGATCCCCACCATGGACACTTCAGAGATGAAGGCTTTGCTGTTTCAGGTGTATGACATCAATCGGATCCAGGTATATTTTGATTTAGTGTTCCATGTTCTCAAAACAAAGCTCTTTAAAATGCATTCCCAAGTCATGTTCCTTCCTATTAAAAAGGCTTTCTGCAGCAATGAGCTGTTAGGAGATGTCTCTTCTGGTTTAAGGTGTTAGGTTTGGGGCTTTTTTTTTTTTTTTTTTGAAATATTCTGTTTTTGTTGGAATGGAACCTTCACACACATGTGGTTGTTTGGGATGTGTTTGTGTCAAAGGCAGAAGGAGGTGGCTCCCGTCAGGGCCGCCACCTCGCACTTAGGGACTGCCCATCTTTCAGAGAAGCTTTCTGCTGCAAAGTGAAATGAAGTTTATGAGAACTCAAAAAAGAAAGCTGTTTCCATTTTAATCTGATAGATTTTCTTTAAATTTGCTCTGGCTGCTCTGATCAATAATGTTAAAGAGCCTGATGGCTTGAGGATCTTGTTAAAGGATTGTTCATAATCTCCCTTGTCTCCAAATACACTCTTTTAAGCAAAAAATCCTCGCTCAAAACCTTAAGCACATTGCAATTTGCCCTTGCCCTCTAGACAGCTATGGTAAGTAATCTTTTCTTAACCAACAGCAAACAAGCTATTTCTGAAAAAACAGGGAAAGTAATGCTTGGTCTTTATTTTTTTTTCTTTTTTATTTGATTACTTTGAAGTCCCTGGCTTTTTCTGGAGCAGTGATTGTGGAAAATTGTCCAAATATAGAGGCAGCGCAGCCATGGAGTCCTTTGCAGTGCCCATCATTCTGTTGTAATGATTAACATACTGAAAAAAGTACAAATTCTGTTAAAAGTCCCATAGCTTCTAGAGATACTAAGGTGTATTTGGACATCAGTGGCATTAGTGACCTACCCCAGGTGAGGCTATGCCCTCAGCTTTCACAAGTGGGATGCAGAAGCCTTTTACCCGTGGTGGTGGCTCTGGGCTGGGGGGATCACAGGCACAGGGAGATGCTGCTTCTGACTTCAAATCTCTGCTGTGGGAGGGGTGTTCAGACAAAAGGAGGTGGCTGGATTTGGTGATGTGAAATAGCAACCAGGACCAACTTTTTAGTGACAGCAGCATACAGTTTGTGCCAGAGCATTGCTGGCTCATAGCTCTCTCGTCTCTGAAAACCTCTCCCCTACTCCCCCTATCTATCTCAGGGCTTTCAGTTCCTGTGTTGGGCATTTTTCTTCTTCTTTTATGCAGAGGCTTCAATACTTGTGCCAAGAAACAGGCTCCCCTTGCTGGATTCCCCCTAGACACATCCATCGCAGTTAGTACTTAAGCTCCGTCCCTCCCATTTTATTCAGTTTTTAATTAGACTCCTGAACAGGAGCACAGAGCAAACTCTGCTTTCATCTGGGAGATCCTGTGGCTGTGAAATATTTACGGGAAGTAAATAACTGTCAGAAAGTAAATAAGTCCCTGACTCTACATAACTGCAAAAGTACTTTGAAATAGTCTCATTCGAATAAAAGCTCCTCACGTTGAGTGGCAGTAAGAAACAGCAACACAGGGAAAAAATTCCCAATGTAGAAGGTAAACACAATTACTAATTCATGGAGCAGCATGTTTCACAGTAGCAGCTTTAATATCTTCCTTTACAGTTTGATTTTAAAATAGGCCAGATTAAAAGGAAATTTGGGGTCGGTTTGGTCATCATCTTTTCAGAAAGCAGAGTGCAAACACAGATGCACCATGCTACTGAAGTTACTCTAAATTCAGACTTTGACATCTCCACTTCAGACTCTGGATAAAGCAATGAAAAAAAGCTCAGAGGAGGCAGCAGCTCTTGCAGGTTTTGATGGGTCAGGTAGATCACCAAGCTCCTACATCATTGTACAAAGAAAGAACTATATCAAAAATAAGCTCAAAAGCTGGCTTGCCACCGTGTCCAGGCATATGTGTGGAACAGAGGCTTGTCCTGCCCCAGGCTTGCTGACATGAATGTGAGTTCTGGAGTTTGCTTTGAAACAGATCTCTGAAAGACGTTTCTATATTCTCCAGCAAACCCATTGCTCCCACCTGCTGATGGTATTAGTAGCTTAATGTCTGAAGCAAACACTCCTGGAGCAGGACTCTGTTAATAGAGACAGATTAACCCCAGCCAGCAGCATCCAATTAAGCAGAAGGAGCTTGTTTCCTTCTTCACACATGGAAAAGGAGATGTCTTGTCTTGCTCTGATGCCTGTTGGAGGAGGGAGGTGTCTCTTGTTTTCTACCTTTCTGTTGACTAGAAGAGGGGCCTCGATCAACAGCTTGCACTATATGTCAAATTTTATTTTTGGCTAGTTAAAATGGATGAAATAAGTCTCCACCAGCATATCCAAACCCACCACAGTCAAAGTCCTTGCACTTAACTCTGTACTGGGCTTTGCCTATTGTACCTTTGCCTATTTTCTACGTCAATGTTTGTGACTATGCCCTTGTTAATTTTCTTTGCCTTAACCATATTCCA